CAGTATGGGTAAACCAACAAAAGTAATTTTTTGAGGAAGTCAGATCAGGTAGAAGTAGAAAAGTAGAAAAAACTAACAGATAAACTGTTATTTCTGCAGCAAATGAAACTGCAAAATATAAAATTTTTAATTTAATAAATATTTATTTTATTTTAATAACCTTGCAATTAAAATGAAAAATAAAATATCTATAGTATTATTTCAATATACAATTAATACAAATATTAAATTGAAAAAAAAAAAAAAATTTCTTAAAAATAATTTAATTTTCTAAAAAAATTAACATTCGTAGTTAATTTTTCATTTTCTATAATTTTTTTGTACTTTTTATAGTCTAGAAACCACTCTGTGTGAGTACAGTTTCCAAACTGAAATTTTATAAAGTTTTAAAAAAGCATTATCCAGTAATCACAAATAAATGGAAATATAAGAAAAATCCATGGAAATTCCTTGGCTGATAACCAAACTATAGATAGCAAACTATCAAGTTTGTTCATCTGAATTAGCTGTCATTCACACAGAATTTGTTCTTGAGTCCTACAATATTTTGGAATTGTTGGTTTTAGTGGGTGTGTTGCACTGAAAAGAATGACAAAGACTTCATCACAATCACACTGCGGCATGTTTTTGTGGTATAGGCAAATATGTCAGATCATATCATGATGAAACGCCCGATTTACACTCTTTGTAGATAGATTAACTCTGGTTAAACTGGAATGCATGTTTTTGCACAAAAATGGCACAGCTGTTTAGTAAATTTCCTCCAAACTCCTATCGTTGTTCTGTGGAGCCACTACTTCCATATTTTTCCACAAAAGCGAGACAAGACTTTGTTGAAGTGTTTAGCATAAGCAGGCTTTTAGCATTAAAGTGCTGTCATTTTGATGAGATTTACAACATATATTTTGAGACTTTATGCATACAGAGCATTAGAAGTCTTCTGGCAGAACACAGAACAGCATTTACTAATTCTTAAATAGTTCTTATACATTATACTTTCACAAATTAATCTCACAGGGCAATTTAAGTGAGTAAAAAAGGTCTGTGCTATAAAATGTTTTGTCAAATCATCTTAAATGTGACCCTGGAGCACAAAAGCAGTCTTAAGTCGCTGGGGTATATTTGTAGCAATAGCCAAAAATACATTGTATGGGTCAAAATTATTGATTTTTCTTTTATGCCAAAAATCATTAGGATATTAAGTAAAGATCATGTTCCATGAAGATATTTTGTAACTTTCTTACTGTAAATATATCAAAACTTAAATTTAGATTAGTAATATGCATTGCTAAGAACTTCATTTGGACAACTTTAAAGGCGATTTTCTCAATATTTTGATTTTTTTTTTGCACCCTCAGATTCCAAACTTTAGATAAAATAGTTGTATCTCGGCCAAATATTGTCATATCCTAACAAACCATAGATCAATGGAAAGCTTATTTATTCAGCTTTCAGATGATGTATAAATCTCAATTTCGAAAAATTGACACTTATGACTGGTTTTGTGGTCCAGGGTCACAGATATGCATTTAATGTGCTAACATCTAAATTAACTGGTTTTATTCAAGTCGATTATATGATGGAACCAACTTCAAAACAGTAGGGAGCACCAACAAAAATAATTTTTTGAAGTCAGATCAGAAGTATAAAAGTAAAGATAATTTTTATAATTTCGACAGCATTTGTATCACCAAATGAAATCACAAAATATTTATTTACATTTTTAATTTAATAAATATTAGTTTTATTTTTAATAACCTTACAATTAATACAAAAACAATTTTAATTCTTAAAAATTATGGGAATATTTATAGCTAATTTTCGCTTTTCTAGAATGTCTTTTTAACTTTTCATTATCTAGAAACCACTATATGTGCACAATTTCTAAAAATGATTTGTTAAAAATTCTTATCCGGTAATCACAATTTAATGGAAAAATAAGGAAAATGCATGGAAATTCATTGGTTGATTTTGCTACCAGGTTTGTCCATCTGTCCATTACCTAAACACACATAAACACCACTTTTTATTCAGTAAATCTGACTGAAATTGTGTGCGGTGTAAAACAGGCCGAATGCTTCACTTTAATAAGCTGCACATTCAATTGTACATTCAGGCTATTGTCATTTTGATATATTTGCATTGGGACATCTTAGCAAATGGCTGAAATCATTTTGTGATCGTATCTTCTCATTGACAGGACGTGATGTTCCTCGTGTTCAGAGGATTTTCCGAACACTTTCTCCTCTGCATGCTCATTAGGGTATACTGAACATGTAGATTAAATTACATTTGCGCAGAGGTGCCACAGAATATTCCACACCTCATTTGATCCATTTTTCTTGCCGGTGTTGTTTTGGAAGTATTAATGATACCTGCTGGTGCTGGAGACGTTTATGTACTGCTCAGGATGTGGGAAATGCTTAGTGCAGCATGTTCCAGACGATCCCCTGCTTGTGTGCTGTATGAGCTTCAGTGCTGTGGAAGATGAGCTGATGTGTTTGACTCCTGCTGGCTCTGACTGTGACCACGGGGAGGGTCTGAAAGATAGAAAGAATACACCACCATTCAAAACAGACAGTAAAGACATTTATAATGTTACTAAATATTTCTATTTCAAGTAAATGCTGTTCTTTTGAATGTTCTATTCATAAAAGAGCCCTGAAACAAAATGTATCAGTTTGCACAAAAATATACGAAGCAGCACAACTGTTTTCAACATTGCTAATAATCAGAAATGTTTCTTGAGCAGTAAATCAGCATATTAGAATGATTTCTGAAGATCATGTGACACTGAAGACTGGAGTAATGATGCTGAAAATTCAGCTTTGATCACAGGAATAAATTATATTTTACTATATATTCAAATAGAAAACAGCTATTTTAAATTGTAATAATATTTCCTAATATTACAGTTTTTACTGTATTTTTTATCAAATAAATGCAGCCTTGCTGAGCAAAAGAGACTTATTTCATTAAAAATGATTTATAAACGACTCGGGTTACGCATGTAACCATGGTTCGGTTCATAAAGAATATGTTCTTGTACACCGTTTGCAATATTTTTTGAATTGTTGGTTTATTTACACATGCAGACTGACGTTTTTACGCATTGTGTTCACGTCTCTGCCATAAACAGTGCCATAAACAGTTTTTAAGACATAATGTCAAGTTGAAGCATTCAGCGTCTCCATCAGCATCCAGGACCGATGCTATCTGTATATTATGTCAGTCACAATCTTTCAAACAAACACCCAAACATTTTAATAATCCGTCAGTGCAGCAGATATGAGGAGCCTGAGCATTTTTGTATCTTTTCATTACTAAAGAGGCTTTGGGAGTGAACTCAATGAGCAGGAGATAAGGATAGATTGGACTAAAATAGAAAAAAGATAAGAGGAGAACATTTGCGTCCATGTGGACAGATTCATTGTGCTGTATAGTGCCTGTCACAGGCTGCAAAGTCTCGCAGAATAAGGGCAGCTGAACAGGGCTAAGCCTGCAGAGAGAAGCACAGGCTGTGACCTCTGACCTCCGGGTCTGATTCAGCGCATTTATCCATGATCACACCCTCCAGCTCAGGACTGGGGCCTCTGGCTCTCTCTCTTTTCACTGGTGCTGTCTCTTGGAGGTTGTCGGTGCTGGAGTGGGTTTTTCAGTAATGCAGCGTCTGTATCGGACAGCAGATGAAAGCTGCCATCACCTCTTCACCCCCTACAGGTTCAGCTCCTAAATCTCACCTTCTCCTGCTGTATAGTGCAAATTAGTTTGTTATGGTTCAGTCCATCTGCTTTGAAGAAGGAGTTCACAAAAAGTGTATTTGGAGGGGTCTAATTATGTTCTTTTGGGTTTTATCCTGCAACTATAATTTCTACTGATTATAAAGGGAGCATTTTGCAATAATCCACACACACACACACAGATCAGTCATTTTCAAACTTTCTGTGAGATGGAATTTCACAAACAGCGGTGGTTTTATCCTGCAACTATAATTTCTACTGATTATAAAGGGAGCATTTTGCAATAATCCACACACACACACACACAGATCAGTCATTTTCAAACTTTCTGTGAGACGGAATTTCACAAACAGCGGTAGTGATTGGGATTGAGTGGTACTGCGTCTTCTCCCACTCTCTCAAAATGCACAAATGGCCTCACATCCATGATATCTACGTTGAGTTCGCTCTGCAAGTGAGCTGCACGCTGCAATACTAGACTAGCGCGCGTTTCGGACAGTTGACGGAATTGTCACTTGCACATACTTTTAAGTCATGCCGATTTAAACATTCAAGCTGTTTTATCCCATACTCTCTCTGAAGAATGCACTCTCAGCCAAAGCGCACACAGCCGCCTCTCAAACATCTTGCGACTCTCGAGTGTCAGATTGAGTTATTACATATTTGATTAAAATCATTTCCTTATTGTCCGGCTATTCCATTTTATTTATCCAGGGTAATGTTGTAATGTTGTTTAATGACTTGTTTGCATTATTTAGGAATTATTTTATTTTATTTAAAATTTAAGATTTTTTTGGTAATACTTTACAAAGCAACAATTTTTTAATTCTCATTTGTTAATGCATTAATTAACATGAACAGAGAGCAATTATTGTTATTATTATTGTTATTATTATTAAGTTAAAAGTGAATCTAATGTTCTTTAGCATTGCTGGTGGCATGTCATGAACCCTGCCTTCACTGCAAACCGAACCGAACCGAACCGTGGCAGTGGTGTATCGTTACACCTCTACTAAAAGGGAAGATTTTCAGTGAATAACAGCTTAAATTTGGCTCTCATCCTCTTGATTTGGCAGTTTAAAATCTCCGGTCGTCTTCTGTTTCCTTCGCAGCTCTCAGCATGATCGACTGTGACATGTATCTTCATTATCAAGTTAGATGTGTTCCAGACAGCAGACGAGGAGTGGAACCTCAACCAAATTAACAAAATCAGAGTTTGTGCTTGTGAAAACTAAACATGTCTTCTTGTTCCTCTTGTAGGTTCAGACTTCCAGTGTAACACTCACATCATCCCAGTGAAGAACGAGGAAGGAGTTGTGATGATGTTCATCTTGAACTTCGATTATGTTCTAGACGAGGAGAACAGCGACTCTTTGGAGAGACTGAACCTTACGCCGCCTGCCAAATCTGAAATCAGTGAGTGCAAATTGAGTTTATCATTATTATTTTTATGCATATATGTATTTTTTTTGTTTGTTTTTTTTGGTTTCTTACACAGATTTTTCCCTACTAGCTGCTCTTTCTGCAAATATTTATGCCATCTGTTTCCTCAGTAGACACGTTTAAAAATCCTTCAATCAAGAGTTTAAAACCATGATCCAAACCAACCAGCCCTAAAACTTTGATATGAGGAAAAAAATAAAAATAAGATGAGTATAATATCTATTATGAGAAAATTAATAATTAAAAAAAAAATCTTACTGAGTCCAAACTTTGTTTGTAAAGCACTACACTGTTTTGTCTAAATTAACTTTAAACATTTTGAGATTTCTTAAATATTACATTTAAGGGTCTTATTATTTTTTTATAATTAAAACAATTACAGTGTTGGTGTTGAAATGATAATAAATTATAGCTGATTATAAAACACTTCACTATTTTGTCTGTATACATTTTAAAAACTAATGTCAGCTGTTTTAATTGCTACAGATGAATTTAGGCGTCACAACATTATAATGTGCTGCATGAAAAAAGGATATTCATCTTGGAATTTGCTAAAATGCAACGTGTATATATATATATATATATACTGTATATATATATATACTGTATATATACTGTATATATATATATATATAAATATTATTATTATAACAACAAAAAACAATAATCTATTCTGAGTTTAAATTCCAGAACCCAATTGTTGTGGTTGTGCTAGTTAATGCATCAGCAACAAAACTGAAGCTTTCAACAACCACTATTATTACTTACTTAATATTATAACATTATTATTATTATGTGTGTAAATAATGAGCAATAATTTCTCTGATGATCATTTTGTAACTTACATTAGAGCTGCTTCCTAGTGACTCCTTCACAACCCCACCTCTGCTGTGCTAAACCAGCCATTCTAATCAGTCGTGTTCAACAGGAAGTGCTTTAACTGGCCAGCGCAGTGAGGCGTTCCTCAACAGAGCGTGCTAATTAGACAGGAGCTTCTCGCTGAGACTGCTCAGATTCAGGTGGGATGCTAGTATCTTCTGCTCTTGCCTCAGATGAGGGATGCTTTCAGAACTGGCTTCACATCAAGGCTTTAACACGCTCATCAGCAGGTGCAGATTTAGTTTTACTGGCCAGCACAGCAAACCAATCTTCTTCTTTTTGGCACCTTTGGTGATCTAATTGACACATAAAGTGACCAATCACATTTAGCTGTGTTTTTGCATGTATACACACAGTGTTGGGGAAAGTTACTTTTAAAAGTAATGCTGAGACTGCTCAGATTCAGGTGGGATGCTAGTATCTTCTGCTCTTGCCTCAGATGAGGGATGCTTTCAGAACTGGCTTCACATCAAGGCTTTAACACGCTCATCAGCAGGTGCAGATTTAGTTTTACTGGCACAGACAGCAAACCAATCTTCTTCTTTTTGGCACCTTTGGTGATCTAATTGACACATAAAGTGACCAATCACATTTAGCTGTGTTTTTGCATGTATATATATATATATATATATATATATATACACACATACACACACACACACACACACACATGAAACCAATGAAAGAACAAATGTTTATAAATAAAACAATACATAATTTTACATTTAAAATGTAAAAATATGGGAAATAAGCATGCACAATTAAATACAGATCAATAAAAAAACTAAATTCTCTAATATTGGCCAATAACTAACAAAACTTTATGGTTTTGTGTATAATGTCCATCAGACACACAGTGAACTGCTGTGACTAATATTAACCGGGTCATATAGAGAAAGAGCCTCAGTGAGGACGAGAACGGAAGCGGATGATATTAATGCATTTATCATCTCCATCATCTCCATAACTTCCTGTATCTGCGGGCCGGTTTGCTCTGACAGGGCAGCGGGCTGCAGGGTGGACGATTGTGGCAGGATGAAGCATCTGTGAGTGTCGTGTGCTCGTTTACAGCTCTATAGCTGCTCGGGCCTCAGGTCCGCCTCAGCGTCTCTACATCCTCACTTAGCAAACACACCGCTTTAGGTGAAGGTTATTTATAGTGGAGAATGCTGCAGAGTGTGTGTGTGTGTGTGTGTGTTTTCTGCCTCTGGGTGTCATGGAGAGTCTGTGTCAACAAGGACTCACCGCTGAACCCTGCTTGTATGTGTTACAATGAGACCCAAACCTAGTCAGGACGTAAATACACATACTCATATTGAACGTTTCTGATTATGAAGTACCACACTATTTTGTCTAAATAAATAAAAAACACTAAAAACTAAAGCCAGTTGTTTTAAATGCTACAAATGAATTTAGGCATCACAAAATCTTGATATAAAGCATGAATTTTTTTGTATTTTTTTTAGATTTGCTAAATATTATACATAAGTGTTATTACAGTTTTTCCTTGTCTTTTTAAAAATTAATTGTTTTCATTGAATTGAAAATAAATTATAGCTGATAAAATACTACTCTATTTTTTATAAATAAATTAAACATATGCTACAAATAAATTTAGGCATCACGACATGGATATTTCAAAAACCACATGGATCTGAAAATTTGAAATTCGTTTTGAGATTATATTTCAGGACACACACATATATATATATATATATATATATAATAAGAATGAGAAGAATGTGTTGTCCAAAAAAATTAATATGGTCATTTACTTTTATGGTGAGATGCCTGCATTGATCTTTGAATCTGTTTGCACTAAGTTTATGCGTCTTGAGTAATAATCAAACTGATATCCCACATAGCAAGTGCAACCAAGAGGCATTGCAAATCAACCCACTCAATGTGGCATATCAAGACACATTACAGTATGTGCATTGAAACCTGAGTGAAATAAAAGGCTGAATGATTGGAGGGAAGATGATTCCTCCATTACATTGTGTAAAGTGGCTGACAAAAGGTACTGTAAAGGAACAGTTCACTCACAAATGAATGTTTTCGTGTCATCATTTACTCACCCTCATGTGGTTCTGCCATTGTGTTATCTTCCTCCTGTGAAATGCAAAATGAGATGTTAGACAGAATGTCTGAGCTGCTCAGACAATGAAAAGTGGAGGATTTCTGTCAAAACAACAACAACATCATGACAGTGCACTATATTCCAAGTGATGTGTAATAGCTTTGTATACGGATGTAGAACTTTGATTATATGAACTCTGAAAAATTATAAAATGGATTTTTAAAAAGCATCAGTAGGACAACACTAACATTAAAGGAATAGGTCACCCAAAAATGAAAATTGTCTGAATATTACTCACTCTCAGGTCATCCAAGATGAGTTTGTTTCTTCATGGGAACAGATTTGGAGAAATTCAGCATTGCATCGCTTGCTCAGCAATGGATCCTCTGCAGTGAATGGGTGCCGTCAGAATTGAGTCTAGATAGCTGACAAAAACATCACAATAATGTGCAAGTAATCCACATGACTCCGTCCATCAAAGAACTTGTGAAGCTGCGTGTTTGTAAGAAACAAATCCATCATAAAGATGTTTTAACTTCACTTCTGGCTAAAATATGAGTCTTCTATCCATAATAACGCTTCCTCCAGTGAAAAAGTCCATCCCCTGTTGTCTCTCACATATCAAAATCCACACACATATTTGTTTAGAACTGTTTTGGGCCGTTTTTGCTTGTAAATGTGTGCATATTTGTCTTCTGATTCAGACAAGACAACTTTTTCACTGAAGAAAGCAATATTATGAATAGTGGACTTTACATACTGTACATTAGCAACAATTTGAAGTTAACAACATCTTGAAGATGGCTTTGTTTTTTTTTATACAAACACGCAGCTTTTGGCTTCACCAGATATTAACTGATGGACTGGAGTGCTGTGGATTACTTGTGGATTATTGTGATGTTTTTATCAGCTGTTTGAACTCTCATTCTGACGGCACCCATTCACTGCAGAGGATCCATTGCTGAGCAAGTGATGCTACATTTCTCCAAATCTGATGAAGAAACTAACTCATCTATATCTTGGATGGCTTGAGGCTGAGTACATTTTCAGCAATTTTTTATTTTGTGGTGAACTACTCCTTTAACTGTAGATTTTAACATGCAAAACAATATACCATCAGATCACATATGCATGCACATATTTAAAATTCTTCACCACATATATGTGCAGAATTCCTGTGACACATCAAATTTAGACTGAAGTGACTTTTGGGGCAAACAAGAAACTAATTATGCATAAACTTGCCAGTATCATAGCAACAAATGGAAGTGCTGGAATCATGGGATGGAATCCCCAGGTTCTAGTGTATTCTGAAATAGACGCTCTATCAGTCTGAATGAGAATGTCACATGCTTAGACTGCAAAACTCCCCTGCTATGATTAGAAAACAGCAAACGCAATGTAATTTACATGCTAATGTACATTAGAATCATGATAACCAAACCGCACATGACCTTCAAATCAAGCAATCTACATATGCACTGTGACTGTTAGCACGCGCACACACACACACACACACACACACACACAAACTTGCTGTCATGAATAATTTGTTAGGATAGAGCCTTTTGTAATGTTCCATATATCTGTGCTATGGAATAAACTACCAGTGTTCACGCCTGTATTGGCCATTTCATTTTCTGTTCAAACCAATTTATGCATCTGGATTAAGTCTTAGTAGAAGCAAATGAAAACTAGATATTAAATGTGCACTAGCGGCCTAAACCAGTTATGGTATAATAATAATAATATCAGTCATATACAATATAAAAGATATTGGATTATCTCAAAATAAAATAATAATTATGTGTGTGTGTGTGTGTGTGTGTATATATATACTAAGATATATAAAAAAGCTATTTTTGTTATGATTTAATTTGATCTCTTATTCCTTCAAGATGGGGCAATATTTTCGTTTGTATAATGTACTACATTCACAATATATATTATATTATATATATAAACACAATATAATTAATATTAAAATTAGTAAAAAGTAAAAAAATGTTTACTT